TTGGAAGGGGCCTTGGAGGTCATCTAGTCCAACCCCCTGCTCAAACAGGAGACACAGAATCATGGAATGACAGAGTTGGAAGGGGCCTTGGAGGTCATCTAGTCCAACCCCCTGCTCAAACAGGAGACACAGAATCATAGAATGACAGAGTTGGAAGGGGCCTTGGAGGTCATCTAGTCCAACCCCCTGCTCAAACAGGAGACACAGAATCATAGAATGACAGAGTTGGAAGGGATCTTGGAGGTCATCTAGTCGAGCCCTCTGCTCGATCAGGGGACCTTATGAGAGTCACCCGATTTCTTCTTAAAAACCTCCGACATTCGGGGTGCCCACACAACTTCCGGAAAGGAAACCACGTACAAACCAGCTTTGAAAATGCCAGCTAATTAAAGAGCTCCGCTTAGTGACGTTTTAAGCGCGTCTCGGCCCACGTTTTTCTTCCCGGCTGTTGGTGGGCGAGGAGGATGATGGGAGGTGTGGGTTGTTGGTTTTTTTGTCTCTTCCCCAGATTTGCCATCTGTTCACGCTTTGACTTGGGGGTTTTCTTTTGTGTGTGTGTGTGTGTGTGTCACGTTGAGTTGTGAGTCAAAGACCTGGAGTTACCCCGGAGTGGGACGGTCGGTTCATTGGGAAAAAAATCCATGATTTATCCAAGTTGTAGGGTTGTCCTGTGTGACAAGTGTAGGATTGTGAGAGGGCCTGTTCTCCATTTCCTTTTCATGTTGGCTTTAAAAATAAATTTGAAATGCGCAGCCAGCAAACCTGGTTAATTTAGAAAGCACAACAGGATGCATTCGGCATTCGAAAAGGAGACCACCAGGAGATCTCACAGCTAGCAAAGGTGGCTTATTTGGAAAGCAGAGCAGGATGCGGTTGGTATTTGGAAAGGAGACCACCAGGAGATCTCACAGGAAGCAAATGTGTCTAATCTGGAAAGTGCAGCAGGACATTGCTGGTATTTGGAAAGGAGACCACCAGGAGATCTCACGGGAAGCAAATGTGTCTTACTTTATAACAGTTCGTTTAGGGACCGTTTTGAAGTTACAAGGCCGCTGGGGGGAAAAAAGGGATATGACTGTTTTTCACACAGCCATCGTGATGTCTCTGTGGTCACATGATCAAAACTGTTTGGCAACGGACTCATACCTATGACGTTTCCGGCGTCCCAGGGGTCACACCATCCCTTTTTGCGACCTTCTGACGAGCAAAATCAGTGTGGAAGCCAGATTCATTTAGCAACCGTGTTACTAATGTAACAACTGTAGTAACAACTCCGGTGATTCACTTAACAACCGAGGCAAGAAAGGTCATAAAATGGGGCAAAATTCAGTTACTAGATGTCTTGCTCAACAACATGAAATCTGGGCTCAATTGTGGTCGAACGTGGAGGACTACCTCTATTTGAACAGGACACCATGGTGGCTGGGGGATTCTGGGAGTTGAATTCCATAGCGTCATTCNCTCAGGCGCCTCCTGGTGGCCAACCAGCCTCTCTGCGCCCTGCTCGGAGTCGGAACCCTGTCCAGGGTCCTCCACATTCTCCAGAGCCGACTCATTGGGCCCCTCGCTGTCGGAGTCTGGTGGCAGCTCCAACGGCTCCTGCTGGGCCACAACAGTGTCCGTTCAAAGTTACAACTTTTTTCCAAAAATGTATTCACCCACCGTTTTCCACAAATAATACGGTGTCATCAGTGCGGTCCCTTGACTTCCATTCGGATGCTTGATCACTGATTCACATTTATGACGATGGCGATATCCTGGAGTTACGTGATCGTTTCTTGCAACCATTTGAAAAGGGAAGTCAATGGGGAAATCCGATTCACTTAGCGACCGGGTGTCCAATTTAAGAATGGCATTGATTCACTTAACAAATGTGGCCAGAAATGGAGAAAACTCATCCAACCCATTTCTCACTTAACAGCATAAATTTGGGGCTCGATTGTGGTTGTAAGTTGAGGACTAATGGTATGACCGTTTTACACCTTAACGACCATTGTGGCATTCCCCAAAGTCAGGTGAACAGAATTAGAATGTGTGGCTCATATTTAAGACGGTCACAGTATCCCAGGGTCATGTAATCCGCTTTTGCGACGGTCTGACAAGAAGGAAGCCAGACAACTGTGTGACTAATTTTAACAACTTCAGGGATTCACTTAACGGTGATAGCAGGAAAGGTCGTAAAGTGGGACAGAATTCACTTAACAACTGTCTCGCTTAGAAAAAGAAATTCAGGGCTCAATTAGGGTTGTAAGTCGAGGACTATCATGGGTCTGAGCGGGGGATTATGGGATCCAGAACTGCCTTTGTGACCCCCCCAAATGAACCCCCTGTTTTGCAGACCCAGGGTTATGACGTCCCTCTCTTCCCAGGTTTGGAGAGGAGCCCTCGCCCGCAAGCGTTGCCGATACCTACGGGCCATCTACACCATCATGGCCTACTACAAGCGTCACAAAGTGAAGTCTCACTTATTGGAGCTCCTACAACGCTTCCAAGGGGTGCGGAGCATGGCGGACTACGGCAAAAGCGTGGAATGGCCGGAGCCTCCAGAGGTGCTGGCCCAGTTCCAGGAGAGCAGCAAACTCATCTTTTGCAGGTAATCTCCCACGATAATTTCTTTAGAGGGGTGACTTCAACTCCCAGAATCCCCCAGCCAGCATTGGAGTCCTCCCCCTCTTAAAGCCTTCTGGCTAGAGGATTCTGGGAGTTGTAGTCCTCCCCTCTTAAAGCCTTCTGGCTGGGGGATTCTGGGAGTGGAAGTCCTCCCCTCTTAAAGCCTTCTGGCTGGGGGATTCTGGGAGTGGAAGT